AAGGAAGGAGAGAGAGAGACAGTGTGTGTGTGTGGTGGGGGGGGGTGTACCATAGGAGAATGATGTAATATCTAAGCAACTGTGGTCCAAAAAATAATAAAATGTCACACATTTAGCACCTTTCAATCAAGGATCTCAAAGCCCTTCTCAAACATGAATTAATCCTCACCACAGCCCTGTGAAGAATGTAAATATTACCCATTTTACAGAGGGCAAACTGAGGCACAAAGAAGTTCAGTGACCTCAAAAGTCACATACTGACCAGAAGCAGAGCTGGAAACAACTCAGGAGTCCTGATTCCCCCATCTCCTGGCCTAACCACTATCCTAATGATCACAGCAGTTTAGTGGGATGGCCAATTAGAAACAATACAGAAAATTGCTGACTGGGATTTTGCCATCCCGCCTGGCTTCCTTCAACAAAGAAACAAAGTCAGCAGAAAACTCATTATATTGCCTCAATGAGAAATGTTTTATTTGTAAATTTGTATTAAGGATTATAAAGCCCTGTGATAATCCTCTACTCCATTGTGCCTAGAAACAGAGGGTGCTTGAGTCACTCACCTCAATGCCCCCCATCTTCTCTCTAACGCCAATATTCCCTACTCCACCCCATGCCCTCCCTACCCCCAATACTCCTCCCCTCCTCCTACCTGTCCCAACCCCCATACTCCAACGCCCATGCCCTCCCTACTCCCCAATACTTCCTCCCTTCCCCTATCTGTCCCAACCCCCTTGCTCTCCCTCCCCCACACCTCTCCCAACATGCCCCACTCCAACCCCCATGCCCTGCCCTCCCCTCCCCATCCCAATACCTTACCCCCAAAACTCCCTCCTCTCCCCTACCAGTCCCAACCCCACTACTCCAACCCCCATCCCAATACCTCCCTAACCACAATACTCCAGTCCAACTCCCCCTGCCCCGCCCACAGACCCCGTCTCCCGAGGGCTGTTGCGTTGCCATGGAGACAGAAATCTCTCGGAAGGGGCGGAGTAGATGCGGCTCCTCCGCGGAGCCGCCGGCGTGGTGACATCATCAGAGCGCGCCGTCTCTCCGGCGGCGATGGAGGAAGCCGGGGAGCCCAGTCGCGAAGAGAGCGTGGGCTCGGGCTCTACCCAGGAGACTTTTCCGGCTGCCTCATCGCCCCCGGGAGTTGGGGCTGTCCCCACGGCCTCCGAGGAACCGCCGGCAGCGGCAGAGAAGACCGAGGGGGAGGCGGCCGAGCCCGATGGGGGCAGCGAGCCCAAAGCGGACTGCCAGGCGGCAGAGGTGCGGTCTGGAGGAAGGGGACGGGGGAAAGGGGGAAAAGGGGCAGAGGGGGGGGGGAGATAGGAAGGGTGGGGCAGAGAGAGGCGCACAGGCTGGATGGCAAGTGG